TAAATTTGATAAATTTATTACCAAATTAAATTTTTTGGTAGACATATAAGGTTTTAAGAAAACTGTAAAAACTTTTTTAGGAAGCTCATAAGCATTTTTAGTAAGCTTATAAGCCTTTTTATTAGTAACCTTGCAAATTTTTTTAACACATTTTCTATCTTCTCAATTGACCTGATAAGATTGTTTTTTGGATAAATGACCTTACAAGATTATTATTATTTTTTAGTAAGCTTAGTAGATTTTTTTAACTTTATAAAATTTTGAAGTAGCCTCATAATTTTTTATAATAATTTTTTGAATTTCTTAATAACTTTTTAATTAAAGGCCCCTAAACTTTTGATTGGGACAATTAAGTGCTCTCATTATCAATTTTGGGTCAATTTAACCCCTCATTAAATGGACTTTGATCACATGAAATAAAAGAAGTAAATGGCTCTAAATTGATAAATAAAATAGGCCATTGTAATTGTATGTTGCCTTCCTTAATTAGTTCTTGAGTAGTAACTATATATATTTTAGTTGTTTCACCTCAGTTTTCAACCATTTTGCTGAAAGTGTTTATGTTAAAAAAAATAAACCAATTATTTTAAGTTTCTTAAGGAAATAGATTATAAATAGTCATTGAAACTATCCCGGAAGAATAAAATTTGAAGAAGTTTTATGAAAAATGGTAAATATGACTTTTCGATAGGTTCAGACAAATAAAAATGGCTAATAGGTATATATTTTCCGATAACATACATTGTCACGCCCTGACCAGAAAGTCGAGCACGGACAATCGCCATGTTGCCTCGAAACACGTGCCGGCCGGTCACGCGCACCAAGGCTCCAGGAAGCGTCAATACCAGAAGAAAACAATGAAAACAGAAATTGATTATAAGGTTTAAAACAAAAGTTTCCCAATCAGAGTAAAAACAGAATCGTCAAAAACCGAAATAATATAAGTGTTTTAACAAATCGAAAACCAAATCAAATCCTATTTAGTGAGTTAATAGATAAGGAATAATAAGAATCAAGACACGAGGATGACAATGAGCTAAGACAATGCCAGTGGGACCCGTTACGTAGTGAGAAGTACCTCTAAAAGCAGTGATAACAGCCTATGCCACCGACTCGCTCGAGGAAACACAGAGTTTTAACTAACCTGAAATCACAACGAGAATTTGAAAGGGTGAGTATTCCTAAGAATACTCCGTGAGTGCAGAGAGCTAACTAACACCGCATTAAGAGTGAAGTGCATGGCCAATCTAAAACACATAATTTATTATCAAGATATGAGATTTCATTGGGCCTCTTTAGTCATTTACAAAACTAAAGATAATCATCTTCAATCTAGTCAATTTATCAAAATAATAGCAAACTCTAGCATTTTAAAACATATACATATACGTCAAAAGATCATATTTCGCACATTAATATTGCATGCCAAAAACAGCAGTAATTGTACATTTGAAACCATAGCCCCAATTTGTATAAAACCAATAATCATCAATAAAACTCATGCATTCATGCCTAAAATAAACAATCATTTCAATCAAATCAATTATGGCCTGTCAAATTAGAAATCAGTAGTAAAAATCATTGATTCCTTTACCGTATAACAATATATGTGTATATTAAAATATGTTTCGCCTCATTTTTTATTCAAAGCAGAAAATAAATCCAAGTTCTGCTTCCAAAATAGTTTGCCATCAAAACATATCCTTTTTATAAAACAAATGGGCTGCCAATAAAACCTATCCGGAGTGACCTTGGCCCGAGTCAACCTCCGGAACCATCAGGGGCATTTTTGTCATCATCAAATAATCAGTAAAAATCTCATTTTCTATTTTTCCAAATACAAGCCCGTTCCCCTGACGTTGGCTTGGGTCCGGTACTGCGTGGTGGCCGCAACACACCCAATTTAGCTCTCCCATGCACACGCCGAACCGGTATATATAAATATGGCATGTCGGGCCTGGAGCGACGAACCATGTGGATCCATAACATAATAACCATGGTCCGCCTAAAATATCCAACTACTAGCTAGTATCCCACCAAATTAGACATACGTACTCCCTAGACTACGTCCAGTCTACGAGTCCCCGTATGCTTACCAAAAACATACATCAAAAACAATATTAAAACATCCATTAAAAAACCACTTTCATAAGTATATGGCAAACATAATCATTTATCAAATAATTAACCTATATTTAGTCTCACAAATAAACAGTCGACTTATTCCATTTCAAATCACCAAATCAATTCAACATCAAAACCCAGTATCAAATATCAAAACAAACCAAATCATGCAACAGGCCATCATAAGATTTCACCATGCACTTATACCATTCAAGAAAACCTTATTAAACCATGCTCTTAAAAACAATATTTATAAAACATGAGAGCATTTTTCAAAGCATTTTTCTTAATGAAATGAAGATAGCTACTAAGCACTCACAGTTCGGGAGGTTCGTATACTCCCGCTAATTTCCTTCTGGTTGTATTGATGTACTATAAACCCCTTTCAATTTGAATCCTAAACATTTAGGAGTACAAGATAATTAGAACAAATAACGGCATTAAAGTTCTAGACCAACTCTATTTTACAACAAAGGTCTAACGTAGCGACACTTCGCAAAAACAGTCACATCTTGCTCAATCCTTTACCAAATCATACGAAACCACTTGCATTTGAAAGACAATTCATTATACTAAAATTTATTCCAAGGAACCATCCTCAAATTCCTCCTCCATCATAATCAAATTTCAGGTTGATTCCAAAATATTTTAAAAGTGTCCTGTTTTTAGGTGAAACATGTGCAGCTATAAAAACGACCCTTTTTCTCTATCTTAGACTTAAAATCTCAACTCGATTCCTTCTACAAAGTGGTAGAGGACTCAAAACCCTACAAATTGGGCACAAGAATGACTTAATTTGGATTTATGAAGGCTAAGATATGCCCCTCGAAAAAGGCTGCAAAAATGCACCAATACAAAATGCTTTTGCCATTTTCAGATTTGCGAAGCTTGGGGAAAATGAGCATAACTCAATCAATACTCAACCAAATCAGGTGAAACCAAAACCAAATGAAAGCTAATTCATTGAGCTAAAATTGATTCCAGATAATCCACATAAAATTCGCACTATAACCATTTCAAATTTAACCTCAAAGTCAGTTTTCCGAGTGACATTAACTTCAATTCAGTGACATTAACTTCCGAGTCTCATAACTCCCAATCCAAGCAAAATTAGCAAAAACAGCATTTCACAAAGTTTGTTCCAAATTCAATTTTCTATAACACTGCCAAATTTAATAATTTTTCAATATCGTTTTCTACTACAAAGAACATCAAAACAGAACGTGGGAATACGTTCTCAAACAAGACTTTTACCAAACATTTTAGCACTTAAACTCTCCAATCAAACCAAGTCTATTTTACCTCAAAATTTCCAGATTATTGCTTCCTCATAAACTCATTTCAAAGCTTAATTTACCTAATAATATTTTCAAGAAATTAATATAGCATTTAAACCATAAGTGAACCTCAATTAGCTTAGTTACCAATATTCAAAGCAAACAATCCAATCACACACCATACCAATCTATTTTCACCCTTAGTACTTATTAAATACAACTTTGAAAACCCTATACCATAGTTCAAAACTTACCATCATTAAATTCCAAGAATGAACTCTTGAAGCCTTAACTCATCTACAATACTTCCATTCATGCATCCTTGAAATAAACCAAAGATTAGTTTGATAAAGTCATAAGAACATGAATTCACTAACTCTTTATGAAAGAATTTACTTATACCCTTTCAAGCTCCAAAACCCATCAATCTCTTAAGACTTTAACATGTATGATCCTCCAATTCATTCACCATCATCTTAAATTGGCATAGGGGTATGAAAGCCTAAGTAGTAAGGATGAATAAAGTGTAATTGCATTCAAGGTTTAGATTCAAATGGGTGGAGAAAGAGTAGAGAGAGAAAGCTTGATGTTGTTATTAATGGAGGAAGGAATTGAAAGAGAAGGAGAAAGAGAAGAGAAGATGATAGAATGAGGAATGGGGTGGTGACCGGGTAGTGGGGTTGCCACTCCACATATTATCATTTTTTTTGTCTTAGGTATAATTATCAACATAACCCTTGATCCTTAATCTCCTTTCAATTTAGGTCCCCTTCCTTTTCCTTTAGTCCTTAAATATTGATAAATTAGTCCAATTATTTCATAATTTCCAAAATCTCTAGTTTTCCTAATAATATTCCCATATTCAATTATCCATAAATGATTTCATTTCTTCATGAAAACCCCAAAATATCTTTTTAACATATAAATCCTCTAAATTGTATCTATCTCAATTCAACCCTTTTTTTCCCCAAATTGCTAAGTACTTTCAAATTGTTTCAATTAGGCTCATATTATAACAATTAATCCATTTGTAATTTCCCGACTTAATCTGATATACTCTAGCAAACAAAATTCATGAACGTGATATTCGATTTAATTTCTCTTGGTCACTATCGTCCCTTATTAAAGCAAATTTGTTTCTAGCATAAAAAACTTGTTTATTTCATAAAATATTTCTAATCCATATATTAGATTCCTCTTGCCAGAAGCCACTGATACATCAGATGCCACTAATTTACTCGTAGTGTCACATACATAGTTTTTTTCCTATATATTTTGAAATCGATACCATTTGTTACTGATAAAATTTTACCTAAATTACTTTGAAATGTTATTGAATTGTTGGTTCACATAATATATATATATATATATATATATATATTAATGAGTTATATATCTTTTTCAATAACTAGCTATTATAATTTAATAACTTTTTATTGATAAAATTGTTATCATAAAATCGTCACCAGAATCACTTATAAAAGAATTCAGTTGGTACATGTATAACTCTTTAAACAATTTTATTTTTTCTATAATCATGTATAACAAATGTGATAACCACACCATTATTGATTAAATGGTTTCTAATTGAAACTTGTCGGGCATTTGGCCTGATGGTAAAGTGCTGGACTGTTAATTTCAGTGGCTAGGGTTCGATTCCTAGCAGGCTCAATACCGGAAAAATGAAATCGTTTCTGATTGAAACTTAATTATGATGACAGGTTATCAATTTTTTTTATAGTATATGACTATGTTATAGAAAAAAGTTATTATTCTATGATTAAGTTCAGTAACTTAATCTTTATCATTGATAAAAATAGTTATTAAAATTACTTATATAATATCATAATAACAACTATTTTGTATAACTTTATAATTACACAAAGCTTTGATCATATCAATTCTTTTAAATTTCTCTCCCTTCAATGAATTGAATCAACATTTTAGACCCCCTATACATACTCAGACAAAAAAATGACAATTGGGGCTTAATTTGGTGAGAGAAAGCCTTTTTTTAATATTTTGAAAAAAAAAAAGAAAACTAGCTCTTATACTGTTGTCAGACACGATAATCGATCGGCTGCAATTTTTTTTCATCTAGGAATAATTTGATAAGTGATATAATGAAAAGTTCTTAATTTGTTTTTTCTTTTTTCAAAAAAGTTCTGAATTTGTTAGTACAATATTAACTTTTTTTTCATAACCTTTATAGCTTTTTTTGGTAACTGAGTATTGTAATTTTGATAACATAAATTATTGATTAAACTATTACCAAAATGACTTATGATTAAATGTTAACAGTTTATATTTATACAAAGCTCTCGATCATATATTAGGTTATATATATTTTTTAAATTGTAGATAAAATTAAAATTTAGGAAATTAAAGAATTAATTGAAAACCTACTACATAATGTTAAAATATCCATGATTTTGCCTAAACAATCAATTATAAGTTTTAATTTCAAACTTAAAAATAGTTAAAGATTAAGAAATTTAGTCTTTTAAAAAGTTTTAATAATAGTAGGATCCATAAGTTACGTAATTTTTTTTTAATTCTTTTCTATCTTTTAGTAAAATTTATATTTAACTAATCCGACCATAAAATTCTAAATTTCATTCACATAGATCATGTATGTTAAATTTGAAATCAACTGAAAATAGTTAACTACATGTTTGATTTCATTATATTTTCCACTGTTAAATATATGTTGGAAATATTGAAAACCTTCGAGTCTCGATCAAGATGAATAAGATATTTAATTGAGTTGAAATTTTACGTGCATATGATTCGTATGAAAAAAATATTAAATCTAATGGTTGATTTTGTAAAATATTACTCTTCAATTAAATTATAAAATTGTGTAAAACAAGTTTGTTTTTTTTTTCAAAAAAACAAGTTTGTTTAATGATCCTTTCTTCTGTTGTTATACAATATGTAACTTAATATTAATTTCATCTAAATTTTCAACCCACGTGCAGAGCACGTGGAAGAATACTAGTTATTACAAAAGAGATGTTTATTTGTTTGGGACACAGGGAATAGAGACAGGGCCTCTCTCTGGACATTGTAATTGAAACCGGGCTGAAAAGGGCCCTCTCAAACTTAATTTATTAAAAATTTGTTAATAAGTGCTCGTATTCGATTAAATTTCCTACCTTGAGAAGAACTCGAGGCAGAAGACAAATTCGCAGAGGTCGACGTTGCAGTGCTATAGCAATCTACCCAAGCATAAACAAGGATAAGTGAAATTAATTAATATATGCGCTCACACGCATATATATACATGCTAATAATTACCAAGATAATTAACGAGATAATCCTAGGGCTAACAAAGTTTAATTCAACGTAAAAAACAATAATATAAAGATATATAAAGAAAATAGTTAAAATATGTTTCCATTATATAATTAATAATTAAAAATTACTGACCTGCAAATTGACCAAACCTGTTAGAAGTTGGCTTGAGGAATTTCTGTCACAAAGATTAAGAGTTTGTTTGGTAGGGAGGAAAGAAATAGAAAGGAAAAGAAATAACAAGGTAAAGAAAATAAGAAGGAAGGGAAAGGAAGTCACATTTCCTCCATCATATTTGGTAGGAAAGAAAGAAATTAGGAGGGAAATTAACAAATTAATTCTTTCCCTTGTTTGGTATGGATGAGAAATGAGAGAGAAAGAAACTTTATTTTCATGAAATGATTACTTTATCTTCATTGATAAATTTCAAAAAAAAAACCTCATTGATTATTTTCAAATGCAAAATAAAAATTATAAGAGAAAACATTATTATGAATACATTATACAGTTCAATACTTTCTTCTATTCCTTCTACCATTTTTAATGAAAAACGTATATTCAAATACACTTTTTTTTAGTAAATTAATAAGCAAATGTAAATAATTTATATATTATATAAAAATATGATTATTATACATATAATCACTCTTTTTGACAAAATGCATATAAAATTATAAATCATGGAAGCGGCACACACACACACAACCAATAAAAAAAAGCAGTCCAAGTTTGAAATTTTGAGAAGCCCGTAACAAAAAACAAATTGAGAAGTAAATTTGTAATTTGAAACAATTTTTAAGGGCATGGAAGTCTTTTTAATATACTGAAAGCCACCTCCTTCCTTCTTCCCCACCATTTCCGTCCAATTTTGGGTCGAAGTAAATTTTGCAGAGCCATTTCCCTCCCATTTCACCTCCACTTCTTTCCTTCTATGCATTTCTCTCCTACCAAACGAAAGAACCATTTTACTACCATGATTTTTAATCGCATGATGAAGACAATGGAACAGTCCTTCCATGCCATTGTTGAGATTATTAGATTTCTTTTGCATGATTTTAAGCATATTACTAAAGATCATGTTAATGTTGCACTTTGTAATAGTGGGAAATTGCACTTAGACTGGTAATTGCATGTTTTGCAACGTGAATTCTTTGTAATTAATAATTGGTGATTAGTAGCAGTTCTTTTTTCTGCTACCGGATAAATGCATACATATTTATCTAAAAAAAATGTGAAAATCAAATGTAAACCAAAATGGAATGAGGTAGAGTGCGGAAAGAAATAGCCTGTAGAGGCGAAAACCCCTCTAATTGAGAAATCAATTGAAATGTCTTTATAGAGATTAGAGGCGACTATATATAGGCTAGAACCGGTTGCAAAAGCTCCCACCAAGTTAGGTTGTCTGATCAAATCGGGTCAAATCTTAGAGCCGATCAACTTGCAGGCGATTTAAAGCCGGTCAAATGTTTTAGAGGCGGATTAAACAGCCTCAATAGGGTATTTTTCTTGTAGTACATATATATGAATTAAATTTGAGGTTAACAATATAGCATACGTACAAACTCAAACAACAAAACCAAGAAGCTAAGCTAGCTAGCAGCTAGCTTGAATCACGCACATAAAAGCTAGCAGCTAACTTATTTAAAGAAGCAAAATCAAATAAATAAACTAAGCTATTATAAGCAAGTAAGTTGTTCTAAGCATCAAAGTAAGAGTCGTAATTAATCATGAACAATAGATTATCAAGATATCAATGTGCTTGCCTTGGCTGAAAGCAGTTGTCGGGTGCGGTCGGCGACCACGACAGAATGGTAGCAAATTAGTGTAACAGAGGGCTACATACGGTACTACAACCAATTAACTTTATGGGGTAAGGCGTATAGAAAGTCATGAATATAAACTCTCTACATATAGTGGCAGCAAATTAATGTTTAGGGTTTAGTTTTGAGATTTGAGAGATTCCGAATCTTTTGCACTAAGTAAAAATTAATTAAGAGAAATAACTTTAAGAGTGAAGAATAAAGTTAAAATATAGTATATATTATAGCCTTAAGAAATTAAAGTTTATTATAATAAATAAAAATTTATAATATATAATAATTGAAAATTTAGGGTAGTAACTAGTAAGTAATTAAGTATGGAGATTTTGGACATATATTAAATTAAGCATACGTAACGCTTGTATATATCATATATGTCCATCTACATATATATCATATATGTCCATAACGTAAATTTAGGGTGGTATGATCTTCAAAATAGATTTGCACAAGGCTTATGATAGTGTCAGCTGCGCTTTCTTGAGAGAGGTACTGGTTGATTTTAATTTCCCTACTCAATTGATTAATCTGATCATGTTCTGTGTATCTTCGAATCATCTATATGTTATTTGGAATGGGAAAGCACAACCGTATTTTGCAGCTGAGCATGGTCTTCGTCAGGGTGACCCACTCTCTCCTTATCTGTTCATTCTCTGCATGGAGAAATTATCGCATTTGATAAAGGATAGAGTTCATAAAAAGCGATGGAAACCTATTAAGGTATCTCGTAGTGGCCCTATTATATCACATTTATTTTTTGTTGATGATCTCGTGTTGTTTGCCCAATCTTCTCAAAGTCAAATTGATGTGATCATGGAGGTTTTGACGGATTTTGCAAATGCTTCGGGATTGACTATTAACATGGCCAAATCTAAATTATTCATATCTCCCAATGTGCCGCGGCAAACTAAAAGCTTACTAAGCTCAGCTTGTGGTATTCCACTAACAGAAGACTTGTGAATTTACTTGGGAGTGCCAATTATCCATAAAAGGGCCTCGAAGGAATTGTATGTGAGAATTGTGGACAAGGTGCGGAGCAGGTTGTGTAGTTGGAAGAAAAATATTCTATCCAGAGCGGATCGACGAGTTTTGGTGCAATCGGTTCTAAATGTTATTCCGATTTATACCATGCAAACTGCTTTCCTCCTTACTTCCATTTGTGATCAGCTTGATAGGCTAGCTAGAAATTTTTTATAGGGAGGGTCAGCCGATTATGCTCACAATTATCTTGTTCATTGGGAACGTATTTGTTTGGCCCGAAGGTTTGGTGGTTTGGGCATCCGTCGAGCTCGAGAAGCAAACTTGGCTTTACTTGCTAAAATAGGTTGGGCATTAGAAACCAACAAGAGTTCAATGGCGTGTGATGTGATTCGGCGAAGGTACCTGACTAATACTTCTCTGCAAGAAGCACCAAATCGGCCCAACTCCTCTTCTACTTGGCGTGGGATTCTACAGTGTCGTCCTTTGTTGCTGAAAGGCCAACATTGCTTATTGGGAATGGCTCCCGAGTGAACCTTTGGTGTGATTGGTGGGTTAGTGATGGACCTTTGGCAG